CTAAGGGAGGGTTCATAGTATTCCCATTTGGTGTCGATAAAGAAGTAAAATGAGCGTTTAAATTATTCAGATTAATTTCAGAAGGAATGGCAGTACATTGCGTCTTACCTACTCCAAGGCGTTTGAGGAATTTCCAAATGTACGAGGGATCTCCATTAGAAACAGCGTCATGTATATAGCGCCTCTGCGCATCCCGACAGCGCGTATTGCATCGATTGCGTGCTGTCCTGTACTTTTCGCGCTCAACGTCTGATTTGGCAGTTCGCATTTTAGCTTTTGCACGATTTTTCTTTGAAATTAACGATTTAATCTCGTCGTTAAGCCAAGGAGAAGGCAAGTGTTTTAGCCTAACAGGTCTTAATGGAGCGTGAAAATCTAGTAGGGTAGTAATAGAAGCATTTAAGAAATCGACTTTGCTATCAATAGACGAACAGTCATATACTGCTGCCCAATCAATCTCAGACGCATCCGCCAGAAGGCGCTCAGTATTAATTCCATTAAGGTTGCGCCTTAGAACTACGGAAGGTTTAGGTTTGGGAGGTTTAAGATTATACGAGACATAGATGAGGTCGTGATGTGAAAAGGCGATGGCAGGTAATTGACCATGACTAGCAACAAGATGAGAAGAGGACGTAAAAATGAGATCTAACAGGGAATGAGTGCAATTAGGAATATTGTGGGTGGCATTTAGGGGCAAGATACTAAGATTAAAGGAGTTTACTATAGAGACCAGCTTTTTAGATCGGTGGTCATCTTTAATTAGACATGTGTTGAAATCGCCCATAATTATTATATTTTGGTATAAAGATGTAAAGTTATCTAAAACAGTTTCAAAAGAAGCAAAATAGTCAATTGTTAAAGAGGGGGAGTAGAAAACGCCGAGAAGAATTTTTGTTGTACCAAGCAGTACTTCGATTAAGAGATGCTCGGCTGCGTTAGAAGGTGGAGGCTGCGTCGAGATACTCACAATCGAAAAGGGGATATGCGAGTGTTATGTGCCGGCCCTAAGCTGCACTCCATTAGGCGACAGCCCTAAGCTGTGCCACTACGGGGAAACTGCTGATTGTGCGCGTATTCGATACCCGTGCGATCGGTATGTGACGCTACTGTTGCCGTACCCATTTTAGCATAAGATATTAATTAATATAATTGTAAGCGTCGAACTGATGCATCGTGCACAGGGAGACAAGTAGGAATAATTAAATGTATTATTTTTAATTAAATTAATTAATAAGTAAATGAGTTTTTTTGCAACCACCGGTGGCGACTAACATAATTGGCGCAGTCGGTAGGATACTCGGGTCGTCGTAAATCGCGGGAAATTTTTCGGAAACCTAACTTTGGACCGTGACCTGCGAGGCTGACCGTTTCTCTTAAGAAACAATTGCGAGTATCTTAGAACCAAGGAGCCCCGGCGTATCCAAACTTCGATACCGGTCGCAGAATGCTCATGTAAGTACACACAAAATTATCTATTGTGTTGCTTCCTTTATTTTATAAGTCCTTTTCACGATTTTCCATCCACGGAAATCTCGGGGGTCATCCCTTGATCCTAAGGGAACCCGCCAACAATCCTCTCGATTTCGGCAAATTGATAGCCTACGAGATTTAGATAATTTGAGGAATAATTGCGATTCCGATAATTGTAGTGATTTTAGTTTTAATTATATTTTAAACATGACCTCGGAGCAGGATATTATTTTTAAATCCTTAAGGTTTGTGCCGGATTTCGACGGCAACCCACATGTATTGACTAGATTTATAAAAATTTGTGACGAATTAGTTAGGCAGTTTATGCGTGATGATCCGCAAGCATCCTTATCAAACATTTCATTAATTAATGGAATTCTTAATAAGATTACAGGACATGCAGGACGTTTAATAAATTCAAATGGTATTCCCGATTCGTGGCAAGGAATTAGGGACTCTTTAATAAATAATTTTTCCGATCAACGAGACGAAACCGCGTTGTATAACGATATCGCGTGTCTAACTCAAGGACAAAACTCTCCTCAAGAGTTTTATGACAAATGCAATAACTTATTTAGTACAATAATGACCTATGTTTCGCTTCACGAAACTATAGAAACAACTATTGACGCGAAAAGACAATTATATAGAAAATTAACACTGCAAGCGTTTATTCGTGGTCTTAAGGAACCACTAGGGTCACGCATACGTTGCATGCGCCCTGAAACAATAGAGAAGGCCTTAGAGTTTGTACAAGAAGAATTAAACGTTATCTATTTGCAAAATCGTAACGATGCTCTACCTAAATTTCACCACACATTAAAACCGCAATCTTCAGTTCAAACGACACACACACCACAACCTTTACTATATAATGTGAATAAGCACAATTTACCTTTTCCGAGAATAAATACACCTTATACATTCCCACAGTTTAAATCAAGTCAACCTAATCATTTTATGCCTAGATTCCCTACACGTACACAACAAGTTTTTCGTGCTCCTCCACCTAATTATAATCCTAACAGTAATTTATTCCGTTTACCTCCACGTAACCAGGTAGCCCAAAAACAGGGACCTACTCCAATGAGCGGTGTAAGTCATTACGTTACTAAGGAGTTACCTTTGACTGGACATGATTGGCGTAAGCACGGCAATCCACCTCCTACAAACTATTTTAAAAGTAGAGATTTAAATGTCAACGAATGTGTCGAACCCGATTATTACGATTATTATGACCAATACAACCCGACCGTAGAATATCCTGACTATTATTACTTTGACCCTGACTATAATTCGTATTATAACTGTGAAGAAATAGAACAATCGAATGAAATTCCTGACAGTGACGAATGTGCTCAAGTGACTGAAACTGAAAATTTTCCGAAAGGCAAGAATTCAGAAAAGCCAAAATAGAAATTAACATACAGACACAAAGACAATTACCTTACATTCAAATTAGTAATCCACCTCTTAAATTTTTAATTGATACAGGTGCTAATCAATCTTTTATCAGCCCTGAAGTAGTGCAACGATTTTATTCTCATATACCTTGTAATTATGATCCGATTGAAGTGACGAATATACACGCGACTACAAGAAGTAACTATTCTATTACATTACCTTGTTTCCCGGAATTTAACGAGAACATAGACATAACTTTATTCGTATACAAATTCCATAATTATTTCGATGGACTTATTGGACTTGATCTTTTAGAAAACTTAGAGTCTACAATTGATTTAAAAAATAAAGTACTTAATACCCGGAATTCTAATAATCCATTGCGTATGTATGATTCGCGTAATTGTAATTTATATGAAGCAATCATTCCCGCTAACTCAAGCAAAGTAGTTAAGGTACCAATAAATTCTCATGACGGTGACGTTATTGTATCAGACCAGATTTTGTCCAACTGTACAATCAGTAATTGTATAACCAGCGTGCGTGACAGTCGTGGCTTTATAGAGATAGTAAATCCAACTAGACACGATGTAGTTTTTTCGATGGATAGGCCGATAGAAGCTGAAGTTTTTAACCACGATATACAACCGGCTAAACTAGTTTCAGGCCGAGCAGCCGAAGTTTTATCACGATTAAGAACTAACCATTTAAATCCAGAAGAAAAAGCAAATTTAGAAACACTTTGTGCGCAATATGCCGACGTCTTCTATATTGAAGGTGAGTCTCTAACCTTTACTAATAAAATTAAGCACAATATTAGAACAACCGACGAATTGCCCGTTTTCACTAAGTCATACAGATATCCTTTTATACATAGGCGCGAAGTTCAAGAGCAAATTAGTAAAATGTTAAATCAAGGTATTATAAGACCTTCTCAATCAGCATGGAGTTCTCCGATATGGGTAGTACCGAAAAAAGCCGACGCCTCAGGAAAAGTAAAATGGCGAATAGTAATTGATTTCAGAAAAGTAAATGAAAAAACAATAGACGATAAATATCCCATTCCAAATATTAATGACGTATTAGATAAGTTAGGGAAATGTCAGTATTTTACTACTTTAGATCTCGCAAGTGGCTTCTATCAAGTGGAAATGAACCCTAATGACATTCATAAAACGGCATTTAATGTAGAACACGGTCATTTTGAATTTTTGCGTATGCCCATGGGATTGAAAAATTCACCATCAACATTTCAAAGAGTTATGGACGATGTACTGCGTGGGTTACAGAACGTTATCTGCTTAGTATATCTCGATGACATCATAGTTTTTAGCACCAGCCTTCAAGAGCATATGATTAATTTAGGAAAAGTATTTCAGAGACTTAGAGAGTCAAACTTTAAAATACAAATGGATAAGTCAGAATTTTTAAAATTAGAAACATCGTATTTAGGACATATAATTAGTAGAGATGGTATAAAGCCCAACCCTGATAAAATAGCAGCGATTAAAAAATATCCCATCCCAAAAACTCCTAAACAAATTAAGCAATTTCTTGGTTTATTAGGTTATTATAGAAAATTCATTCCAGATTTCGCTCGTGTAATTAAACCTATGACACAATGTCTTAAAAAAGGTAGTAAAATTATTTTAAATTCGGAATATGTTAGTTGTTTTGAAAAATGTAAAATCCTTTTATCCAATGATCCTATTTTACAATATCCCGACTTTAATAAAGAGTTTATACTAACAACAGACGCATCAAACGTAGCTATAGGTGCCGTATTATCTCAAGGTCCTATTGGATCCGATAAACCCATCGCGTACGCCTCACGTACTTTAAACGATAGCGAATTAAATTATAGTACAATAGAGAAAGAGTTATTAGCCATAGTCTGGGCTACAAAATACTTTCGTCCTTATCTTTTCGGTCGTAAGTTTAAAATTATAACAGATCATAGGCCATTACAATGGATAATGAATATTAAAGAACCAAATTCACGTCTTACTCGTTGGCGTCTCAAACTAAGTGAATTTGATTATACCGTTATATATAAAAAAGGTAAAGCTAATACAAATGCTGACGCGTTATCGCGAATTGAATTACATAATGAGAATGTAGCATCTATGGTAGTTAATATTTCTGATTCCGAGTCGACAGTGACCGCACCTGACGACAGACCATTAATTAGCAACTCTTCTACGGACACTGCACCTACTTTAAGAGCTTATAGTTCTGATAGACAGGAAGACGTTAATCCTGGTGGAACCAAGCATACCAGTCACGAAGATCCCATCCTTGAAATTCCCATTAGTGATGATCCTTTAAATATTTTTCGACGACAAATTGTTATAAAAATCACGTCTACTTCAACTAATACAAAACCTACTGTTAGCAAGCCTTTTGAAGGATATTCGAAAGTTTCTGTAACTATAAACGAGGCTAACCTAGAAGAATCAGTAATCAGCTTAATTAAAAAATACGCAGATCCAAAAATTCGCACAGGCATATTAGTTCAACCTTTAAAACATATGTATGACGTTGTTCCTATAGTGCAAAATACATTTAAAAGTGCAGCCATGAAACTTGTTCTTGTAAAGCGACAAATTGAGAATATATCCGACTATCTAAATCAACAGGACACAATTCGAAAGTATCACGAAGGTAAAACAAATCATCGTGGCATTAATGAAACTTATCAATCGCTTTCGCAGCGTTATTTTTGGCCTAAAATGAAAGTTGACATAGCAAAATTTATTAATTTGTGTGAGACATGTAATTGTGCAAAATACGATCGTAAGCCCATAAGGCAACAGTTCAAGATCGTACCGCCTCCTTCTAAACCTTTTGAAATTATACATATGGACGTATTAAGTATTGACCATGACAAGTACCTAACGTTAATTGACGCTTTTTCAAAGTATGCACAAGCATATAGACTAAATGACTGTACTGCACCGAATATCATTAAATCCTTACTTTCCTTTATTTCCCATCACGGTTCACCATTATCATTAACCACCGACCGTGGTACTGAATTTACGAACCAGGTTTTTGCGGAATTTCTAAAATTACATAAAATTAATCATCATTTGGTAGCTCCACATACACCAAACGAAAACGGTATGATTGAACGCTTTCATAGTACCCTTCTAGAACATTTAAGAATATTAAAACTTGTTCACAAAAATGAACCGACTTCAAACCTTATACCATACGCGATTTTAGCATATAATAGTTCTATTCATAGTTTAACAAAATGTAGACCTTTTGACATCATAACGGGACATTATGATCCTAGAGATCCCACGGACTTAAATTTATCGGAAAGACTTATGCAACAATATATGCAGAACCATAAAAGTAACATGCAGACAATTTACAATATAATACATGACTCATCATTCGCGGAACGTGAAGCTATCACTTTACGACATAATTCTCACAGAGAACCTGAGACAGACTATGCACCTGACCAAACGGTTTACATAAATAATCCTATGACTTCTCGACGTAAAGTAGCTCCACGATACTTAGCTGATAAAGTGGTATCCAACCAACCTATCCATATTTACACCTCAAAGAAAAAGTTACCTGTTTCCAAATCCCGTCTTAAACGGTTACCAAAAAGCAATAATTTGTTGCAGACTCCTCCTGACACTGATGCTGGGCCTAGTAATGGGTCAAGACATAAAACTTGAACCTATGGACAATGGACCTGGACTTCTACCTTTTGACCTCGGACATATGAACTTGATTACTCACTATCATAACTTTTTACATTATATTGACATAGACGAAATTGATTTGAATATTAACTTAGTAAAAGACCAAATTCGTGACATGGAAAGAATATTTGACAATCAGACGTTTTCCTTGTTCAATGTACGCATTACACACATACAAGCAAAGTTAGATCGAGCATCAAATTTACTTAATGCCTTAAGGCCTGGACGTTACAAACGGGGATTGATCAATGGATTAGGCACTGTAATAAAAAGCATAACCGGAAATTTAGATTATAGCGATGCGATTAGATACGACAATGCAATTAGTGTTTTAACCCAAAATCAGGATAAAATTATTAGCGAATCAAATCGTCATATTAGTTTAACTAAGAAATGGACTTCAGAATATTCCAAAGTAATCGATAAGTTAATAGAAAATCAAGCGGAATTAAATAAAACCATTCAGTTAATCCTTAAAAAAGACAGCATCGATGAATTGCACACCCTTAAGTTTGCTAGATTTGCGCAATCATTAGATTCACTTAATGATAATGTAGGCGAGTTATTACGCACTATTAGAAATGTAGAAGATAGTTTAGTCTATACGCGTAGTTGTAGTGCACATCATATAATGCTAGGAATAGATATGTTACGCAGTATTTTAGGAACGCTAGTGAGTCTCTACGACAAAAACCAATTATTATTAGACCTTGACCTGCGAGAATATTATAGTATTATTCGCACTGGGTCATATTATTCAGAAAACAGGATAGTTATAGTGTTGAGGATTCCGATTGTCTCTCCAATTATGTATAATCTTTATAAACTTTCAATTTTGCCGAATCATCTGAACCAAGTCCTCATCCCACCTTATCCTTATATAGCAACCAATGGTAATGATTATGTGTACATAGAGGCTGAATGCCCGAAGTTAAGTGATCGGTATCTTTGTAAAGAAGACCTCAATCACCATATCAAAAGTTCACCGGATTGCGTTGCCGCCCTTATCACCGTGCAGCATTTAACCGCCTCCTGTTCCACCGTTACTTTGGTATTAACAAAGCAAGCAATGGAAAAGTTGGATGACGCCCATTACTCACTCGTGTTTCCTAATGAAACAAAAGTTATTCTATCCTGTGGCAGAAACGAATATCTCAACCTGAAGGGAAGCTATCTTGCAACTCTACCAACAAACTGCTCTCTACACACTGGTGACCTTACCATTGTTAATGCTAACAATGAAATTAATGGACAACCAATGAAGATTCTACTGACATCAATCAACAATTCTATTCCATCACCATCTTTAAAAGTTCTTCGAATATCATCCATTGACCTGAAAAGCCTGCATAATTTTCAAAAGCAGATCGATGCTCAGGAGCCAATAATTCCTGAAAAATCCGTCATATACCATACATCTATACCATTATATGTTTTGTTCCTGCTAATGGCGATAGTGGCGCTGTTCATCTACTATCGTCGTTATTTAAGAAGAAGGCAACTTCGTGTGGAAGAAGCAGCAGCGAATACGTCAGCAGCTCAGGATCCACCCGCAACATTTTCCCTAAACGTGTTAAAATAGTCGCGGTTCTTGGGGGGGAAGTGTTATGTGCCGGCCCTAAGCTGCACTCCATTAGGCGACAGCCCTAAGCTGTGCCACTACGGGGAAACTGCTGATTGTGCGCGTATTCGATACCCGTGCGATCGGTATGTGACGCTACTGTTGCCGTACCCATTTTAGCATAAGATATTAATTAATATAATTGTAAGCGTCGAACTGATGCATCGTGCACAGGGAGACAAGTAGGAATAATTAAATGTATTATTTTTAATTAAATTAATTAATAAGTAAATGAGTTTTTTTGCAACCACCGGTGGCGACTAACATAATTCGAGCGTAAATATATAGCGACGCCGCCCCCACGCATACCGACTCGATCATTACGTATTAGGTTGTATCCAGGGATTGCATAAGTAACGGAGGAGAGGGTTGGATTAAGCCAAGTTTCAGATATAAGGATAGCGTGAATATTTATAGAGGAGAAAGTTGAAAGAAGGTCAAAGTGATGCGCTGGAACGCTTTGGGCGTTTATATGTATAACATTAAATTTTTTAGTTAGGTCTTTAAATACAGATTTTAGAGTAACGTCAAGAGAATTAGATGAAGATACAGTACTATGAAACGAGTCTTCATCGGAGGAAGACATGGATAAAAATTCAGATGTTTCACTATCATTATTCATGATTGTAAGCAGGTTACTACAAACAAACTTATACAATATTATTACAAAACTGTGACAAAAAAAAAACTATATACAAACAAAAATAAAAAGTAAAAATATTTCACACATTCGCACTTATCCGCTAACACGATGAAATGAGTACTTTATTATTCAAAACTTAAAATTATTTTTAACAAAAGCAATGTAAAATACTTAAGAATGGTTATCCGCTGATTTAAATAGTGCAAAACGGTGCCCGACAAGTTTATAGTATAATAACAATAATTGTTACAGCTATTTTAGTTCATATATCCCTATTTTTAAGTAAAGAATAATTATTGAGAAAGGGAAATAATAATAATTACAACAAACAAATGTCAGGGGTACATTTCGGCGTAACAGGTAGCGATACCGTGAGTGCAAGAATAAGGCACAATCATTCATTCAATTAATGCATTTCGTTACTAGTTACTGATTACTAATCGAGATACGATATACGAAATATCAGTAATCATTTGGTTACGACATCTGTGCATAAACGTTACAAAGTAAAATGCAAAACATTGTCTGTGTTGACAATCTACAGTGTTGCACGAAGTGTCATAAAGTCACATTGGAATTATGTCAGATGACAATTAACATTGTGTTGCTACAGAGTACAAAATGTAAACAATAATAATATGATTAACATAGTAAGTATATGAATTATGAACCACAACTGTAGTAATAATTAGATAATATAAAATTTTACCAACTACTAATTTTAAAGAATTAGGTTTTTTAAACGATAAGCACCATTAACCTCTTTAAGGATCACTCACAAAGCACAACGAGATAACCGAAAACACTAAAACACTAAGATGGGGGGATTATTGCCCCTTATTTGGGGCCTTCTTGCGACCTTTATCCTTTTGCGGCTGTGGCAATGGTGCACTCGTTGTCGCCGTCGGCTCGTCTTCAGAAGCACTACCGATGATATCCTTCATGTCGTTTATACGGCAACGCTCCCCATCAGGACGAATGGCGTATATGTTCCCGTCACGAGTCCAACAGTTACTAACGCCAAACTGCTTCCTCGCGGCCATGAATATATTGTGCCGACCTTTTGTGAGAAACTCGGACAGAGTTATACCAGTACCCTTAAGATGGGTCTTGGAAGACCAGATTTGTTCCTTCACCTGATGTTGTCGAAGCTTGATGAGCACTGGCCGAGGTTTAGTATCTCTTCGAGTACCTAATCTGTGGCATCTAGATAAACTGTCCGCTGCAAGATCAGGGCACTTAAGAAGCACTGATAACATTTTAGCAACGGAGGTAGGGTTCTCATCCTTGGATTCGTTGACGCCATGCAGTAGAAGGAATTTACGCCTAGAGCGCATTTCCAAGTCATCTTGCATCCTGAACAACATTTCGACCTGAGTTTGTAGGTTTTGTAGACAAAAAAGTATAGATGACTTAAAAGCTTCAAACTCCATAGCGATCGAAGTGTTAGATTCTGTAGGTGAAACCTTACTAGCCTTATCCAAACGCTGTTGAAATTGCTCCATCTTTGTAGTAAACATTTCCGAAACATTCAAAACTGTTTTCTTTAGATCTTCCATTTTTAGTTATATCTTGAGGGTAGGTCTAATTACGAAAAAGCTCACATACGATGTAAAAGGCGTTTTGAATTAATATACCAAAAAGGAAATTAGCGGAAATAGTGCTTCTAGCTATTAGTACATAACTTAACAGACTTTAGTAAAGTTTGAGACAAAATAAATCACTTTTGATAATTAAAATAATGCAATAACGTAAGAACGCGCGTACTACTTGCGCTACCCGCACTAATTGTAGTTAATTTTATAAATGTATATAAAGTTTGTATTTGAAATAACCTATTTTTTATATTTTGTTTTCTCGTTTGGGGCATTCCAAACGGATTTATATAAATATGAGGAAAGAAAAAGTTAAGCTCGATTTCATTAACCACGAGTTATACTGCCATTTTAAGTTAAACACACATATTGTCATTACAAATAATTGTATATTTCTTAGCGCCCACCAGAAATTCTGTGAATTGTAAAATCTTCTCCCTTTTCAGAGAAGTTGGAATGCGGCAATTAATTCAATGTTCTTTCAATAAACAAACAGACGAGTGGATTCGTTTGGAACACGATTCGATATTTGTTAAAGAAATAAGCAATTTTTATTATGCGTGAAGCACTTTCGTTTTCATTATTTGTTGTTAAAGTATTTAAAAACGAAATGGCGTTTACAGCGCGACTTAAAAACATAAAGAGAGGAATATATAGGAAGGTACACATACGCACAAAGTGACACACACTAAATGGTGCTGTAGTGTACGCGAGTATTACACAATAAAAAAAACGCTAACGGTTTAAAACGCGATGTGTATTAGTTAAACTTATTTGTAAATTATTTTAAATGCGGCCCGACGTTCCACAATAATTTTCAAACAAGTTTAACTGATATACGTACGCGTTTTAAACCGTTAAAGTGTTTTATTTAAATGAGACGTACAATGTTGGTCGTGGATTTTAGTTCTACTACTTTATTTACTCTAACTTTTCAATATTAATACTGAACTACTACAAATTACATATAGCAAAGGCAAATATATGCTTTGCAAACGCAATTATAATATTCAGAGTTGAAACTATCACCAATATATACTAAAGAGAATAATTAAACTTTTGAATGAATTATTTTTAACGTAATCCTCGTGTAATTGTAACAATGTATGGCTAATCGTCCGGTCGTTGGGTTCGATTCCCATCGGGTCCAACATGATTCAATTTATATTTTTCAAAAACATGTTAGGCTGCGTCTGAAAATCTGGATATTAACTGGTTGGTAGGAATTAGGTTTCAGTCTGTGGATTCTTCATCTTGTTTAGATGCTAGAGGCTGGGGTATATTGTCTCAAAAATATGTGTATTTATGATTTCGGACACTTTGAGTACTAGGGGCAAAAAGACAGACTAAAAAGATTTACTTTTTATCTGCATTTAATTTTTTAGATAATTATATGTAAGTCCATAGAATTATAACGAAAAAAGACAACCGTTCGAAAAGGTATAAAACCGTTTGGCATAGATACAATAAAAAGTAACAAATAGAAAATCATAATTAAAACGACAATGGCATGATGAGAACCCATTCTCGTGTAATGATTAGACGTACAATGATGTGGTAATTATGGTCTTTATTCAGAGCTGAAAGGCTAATGAAAAAACCACACGCAGCCCACTACACTACATATAGGATAGTGTTCATAGGACATAACATAAATGGTACAATACCATTCCCCACCATGGGGCATAGGCGAACACATTTCTGTGTCCGATTTCTCATAAAGTAGGTATTTTTTTTCTGACAGAGGACATAGCATAGGATTCACTTAATCTAAGGTGAAATACTTTAACCACATAACATCTCACAAGATTTAAATAAAACACTTTAACAGTTTAAAACGCGATATATTACTTAAACTTATTTGAAAATGATTTTTAACTTCGCATCTCACAAGATGCGTTGTCACTCTACTTTGGCTTTGGATATTCGGAAGTCGACCTTCCTACCAGTCATTTACACAAATGGGTGGTAGGAATTCTGGGAAAAAGTTCAACATGTTTCAGACGCTGTACTCAATACTTAGCCCTACCAAAACATTTTCTTTAGACGGGATTCAAACCGAGGACTTTAAGTCAATACAAAACGTTTAACCATTGACGTACACGTTAGTTGAATTATACCAATGTATGGCAAATATAATCAACGAGTGGGCTCAATTTTCTATTTTTTCTATTATTTTTTATTTTTTCTGAAACACATTTGATTGTGTCGCAAAAATTAGGTTAATAAATGAGGAGAAATATCAAATGCCTCTCACTTAAACTTCAAGAGTCCAAAGTCGAAAATTCGACAACACATAATTCTATGAATAGCAAGTTGTAACAATAATAAAAAATCTTTCACCGCGAGCCGTTTCATTTTCTCATCACAAATAAAAGAAGGTCACAAAGAAGCGATTTATATATGCGAAAGAGGAAATTTTTCGTGTTTGTTGACAAAACCCCGAGGGCACGTTTTACAAGGTTAGAGTATGGAAGCAGTGAGTAACTAGATTTGTGCGGAACTCGACCTTTCAAAAACACAGCAAGATATCAATTGAATCATCTTGTTGTTTAAATAAAACACGCACAAAGAGACACACTAAATGCTGTATGTAGTGTACGCGAGTAGTACACCTTTAAATAAAACATTAACGGTTTAAAACGCGATATATATTATTTAAACTTATTTGAAAATGATTTTAACTACGGCTCGACGTTTCGGATGCTTTGCAACCTTTGTTTGTGTTTTATTTAAATCTTGTTGTCTAAAATTCTTACCCTTTTATTTTTATTTGCTACTTAACGAAATGCGTTCCAAGAACACGATATTTTTGATACTTGAGAAGACAACAGAAACGTTTTGATTAGTAAACTCAATCGTATTTCACAAAATCTTGAATTCGAAACCCGGTTTCGTGTTTCGTAGACATTTATGGGTCAATTCTAGAATTCGAACTTCTCAATTCTAGAATTCGACTGACTAGTCAGTCGAATTTGGTTAAAGTTTGCCCGACCTTAAATTTGTTTTTCTATTCAATTTATAATTTGTTCAGTTGAAAAAATTCGACGATGAGGTGTAGGACTCGGTAGCTCGATTGGTTGAGCAACAGCACGGAACGCTGACGATGCCGGTTCAAGTCCTGCCCGAGTCGAAAAAACATTTTTTTCAATTTATTTTCGATTTTTAAATCTTAATTTCTGTCTTTACTAATGCTTAAACCTAAGGCACATTTAATTAAATACTTGAGTTATGGTTTAATTTCGTGCACAAAGCCGACTTAAAGCTTTGTCTAATGCAAAGCCGAGGTTAAGAGACAAAGCTTACATATAACGTACCTACGTTGACAAACAAATAACACACGAATGTATGAAATGCCTAGGGTTAGGACAAATGTAATCTTGAAATAAAGGCAAGAGTTAAGCTGTATTGTATTGTGATTACTTTGAAGGCAAGAAACCACCATTTGTACAGTATTTCAGCTTTTATACAATTGCCACAATTTTTATTTGCAAATCACAGATGGCGCCATAGTCGAAATCCCGCTTTTATATTGAAACAATTTCGTCGACATTAATTCAAGATTCGTACGTAAAGAAAAAAAATATACTAACATTAGATGGCTGAAGAGTATGTTTGTTTGTGGGAACGCGCTTTTCTCAGAAACTGGTTTTAATTTAAAAACATTGGTGGAAGCTGGAGCATTTATTGAGGAATGAGTAAGGCTATAAAACATCAGGCTAATAGAGTGAAGAAACGGAGGGAAACATGAAATAATCAAGAAAATTATTCATCGTTGATGGCTTCAGCTGGAAAAAAAACAAAAAATTATGTACGAAAGAATGATTTAAAGACTCGCAAGAACGACGCGACGAAATTCGGACGATGTAGTTGGGTTACAGCTATAGATATATAAATATTAATTTGGATGTATTTAATATGAGCAAAGATCTCATTCATAAATATCATTTTGCTTCTAATCCAAATATTGTTCCATCGACGTTGTGTTAAATTGATAAAAAATTTGACGAAGGTACACGCTTTATAAATTAGGTACTAAATTAGCTATGACGCGCGGCAAACAAGACCATTCTATTATAATTATGAACGCTGCGGGATATTGTCTAAATCTAGCCAAATTGCCCTCTCTATTATGCGTCAACCTTTATTATTTAAAGCTAATTGTAGCGTTATTTATTAATTTCGTTAACTGTAAAATATAAAAAGAGGCAGACCCTTTCTTGCCAGTTCTTCTCGCTCATTCTACAACTTGGATTTGACAATGTTTTTACAGTTGTTCAATTATTAGACAACTACATATAAGTTTATATCAATTATAATAATAAACGAGTTTATTATTTATTAATAATATAAAGTTATAATATAAGCTGACTATTAAATAATAATATAACTGTTTATTAATTAATTATTTACTAACGCTCGAGGCTTAGTTCAAAAACTAGTTTTATATTTAGACACTTCTTGATAAATAATATAGTAATCGGTTACGTTTTAGGGTTAAATAAAAAAAAATAATCAAACGTATATATCTTGTGTAACCTGTTAAAAAATAATAATTTGGTGTGTTCTACTTGCGTCAACTACAGACCATTCATAATATTATTGTATGCAATTTGATAAAAGTATTGAGTAAATTTTATCTGTTATTCTTTCCATTAATAGTGCACTTAGTCTGTGTATCTCTACTGTAACATGCAACGCCTCAACACGTTGAGAATTAAAACAGTAGTCGAATACAAAATTGAAATATATTAGATATTTAGATTAAATTATCAATTATTTATAGTTTTTAAATTACTGTCTATTTTGAACAAAAAGTTTCACTTTAAATTATTATAAAATAGAGAGATAATCAAATGCAGGCAAAAGGCCCTCTACAGGTGGAAAGTTGGCATACCTGATGTTAGCAGCTTCATTGACGTAGTTCCCCCAGCCCATCAAGGGTGGAGTGGTGAGAGCCAAGGAGTACGTCCAAATGAAAATGACAGACATGGCTGCACTTTTGGTGCTCAGATGCCTCGATCGTAGTGGTCTTGTCACCATCAAATACCGCTCGAAGGATATAACTGTGAGCGTCGTTATTGACGTTATACCTGTAATAGAATATAATATATCGATAAAAAAATGTTCTTAGTGTCTAAAAATTATATAAAATGTATCCTAAATTTGCTTGTATAGCCTTTAAGTAAAACTTTTTAACGGTTTAAAACGCGGTATATATTAGTAAAACTTATTTGAAAATTATTTTAACTACGGCCCGAGTTTCTCCTTGACCACGGCTTCTGTAAAGCATTCAAAATGTCGGGTTGTAGTTAAAATAATTTCCAATAAGTTTAAGTAATATATGTCGTGTTTTAACCCGTTAAAGTGTTTTATTTAAATGTGTACTACTCGCGTAAACTTTAGACTGTCTATATGTAACCTTTGTCTTGTGCAATATATCTTTTCTATTTTTCTCTTAGTATACTAGTAGAACTTAGTATCATTACTTTACACCCCTCCCCGTGTACACACTTACACTACCCTCAGTGCACCTAAATACCAAATAATGAATATAATTGCATTTCTGTTTGAATAATAATAATAAAAAAAACAACCGACTTCCTAAAAGTAAACTAAAAACATAATAACTTAGCACAAAGTAATACGTATTTTGATTATTATTTAAGTAGAACCGATTGAATGATTAATTTTGTAATATAATATTTGAATTCAAGCCAATGTTTCTTCATTTGAATTACAACGAGAAGTAAGTTAGTTAAGTTAGGTAGATTTATTATTATTATTATTATATTTTAACAACGACCCGACGTTTTGGATTGAAGCAGCCGGCGTCGGGATATATATCACGTCATAAACTACAAGAGTGATACGAATATGTACTACTCACGTAAACTACAGACAATAGATAATAATATACTTTTAAACATTTGAATGGAACTCGAAGACAAACGAATTTTATATTTGTGGACGATGCCACGATATCCTGAAATTTACCGGACGCAGCCAAGATGCTTTAGAAAATTTGATTTTAATTAAAGAGTACGTTGGTACGTTGATCATCGAACCCACAGCCTGTTGGTTAGCCTTATTTTTGCTACATCTGGACCAAAGACCTAAAAAACCTTACTGTTGATACACATATGTATAATTAAAGCAATTTGAATAAAAACGTCTTGATTGCTTCTGTGAATAAATACATAAATGAAATTGTCGACTAATTGCAGTTCCGTAATTAACACAAGCAATCTTATTAACTTTACACGTGCTCTCCAAGGCTGGAATAACTTCCTGTATTACACGGGACTTATACAACCGTAAGAGAACCACAAAGCTGCTACTTAACCCATGAGTACGGAATAAATAAGATTATAATAATAATAATAATAATATCTTTTTTTTGCCTTCTTTTTTTTCAATTTTTTGGCGTAATAAAAAAAAATTTTTTTTTCAAAAAAAAAAAAAATTATAAAAAAAAAAAAAATTTTTCCCCCCCCGGGTTTTTTTTTTTTTTTTTTTTTTTTTGGGGGGGGGGGGTTTTTTTTCTCCCTGGTTGTTGGGGGTTTTTTTTTTTTTCTCCCTTTTTTTTCTCCCCCCCCCCCCCCCTTTTTTTTTTTTGCGCCCCCCCCCCCCCCCCCCCTCTTTTTTTCCTTTTTTTTTTTGTTTTTTTTTTGTGGGGGTTTTTTTTTTTTTTTTTTTTTTTTTTTTTTTTTTGTTGGGGGGGGGGGGGGGTTTTTTTTCCCCCCGCCCCCCCTTTTTTTTTTTTTTTTTTTTTTTTTTTTTTTTTTTTTTTTTTTTTTTTTTTTTTTTTTTTTTTTTTTTTGGGGGGGGGTTTTTTTTTTTTTTCTTTTTTTTTTTTTTTTCTTCCCCCCCCCCCCCCCCCGCCCCCCCCCCTTTTTTTTTTTTTTTTCCCCCCCCCCCCCGTGGGGTTTTTTTTTTTTTCCCCCCCCCCCCCCCCCCCCTTTTTTTTTTTTTTTTTTTTTTTTTTTTTTTTTTTTTTTTTCCCCCCCTTTTCCTCCCCCCCCCTTTTCCCCCCCCCCCCCCTTTTTTTTTTTTTTTTTTTTTTTTTGTTGTTTGTGTGTGTGGGGGCCCCCCCCCCCCCCCCCCCCCCCCCCCCCCCCCCCCCCCCCCCCCCCCCCCCCCCCCCCCCCCCCCCCCCCCCCCCCCTATCTAAATTCTTTAAGAAATGTATGTTGTCTGTAACATATATCATACTAGATGTGTCAGCGACTTCGTCCGTAGAATGCGTTGTTTTAGACATCCAAATTCGTTCTCGCAAGTTAATCTTAAAAGATAGACATAAAGCATCGCGGACTTTTTTTACAATAATTTAAAGAAGAATCATATTCTCTTTTATATTTTTCTATTTATTCTCATATTTTTGGGTATTTTGAACCGTTTGTACAGCGCACGCCTTAATTTTCATAATGATGAATCAATTTCCCATTATTTTTCACATTTCACATGCCTACCTCGACAAATGCTCTAACCAACACAAATATAATTTTCCAATCGAATCTGTAGTTTGTTTAAACAAACAAACTCTTTAGCTTTATATATTAGTGTAGATATAGATTTAAAAGTTATAAATATGTTTGTTTACATTCATTCCGAATTAAATATATTGTGAGATACAAATAATTGCTATCAATTATATCTATATAGATAATTTGAAATGTTTGTGATCGGAACGTTATGGATGCCGGTTCGAGTCCTGCCTGAGTCGTACATTTTTTCAATTTATGATCGATATTTAATTTAGATAGATGGATACACAATTACAATTTATTCAACATATTAAATGTTAGCGCAAGTTATTTCCACTTTTGTATACTCTTTTATATTTATTCATTAAACGACTTACTATTAACAACAGGTAAAAAAATCCTAAAAACAAAGAAAATGTACTCTGTAATCCTACTTTCGACCTATAAAAATGAAAACAGTCTTCGGAGTGACTTGAAAATTATTCATCAACCTCTCGGCGTTTTCAGTTGTAATTACCACAGGAAAGCTCTTGGGAATGTAAAGTGGTCGAGGAGAGTTTAAAATTAACATTGAATATACATTTTTGGCACCGAGAGGTCCTGGGTTCAAACACTACTGGACTAACCATCATGTTAAAAGTAAGCAATTAGACGGGCTTGTAGACACAGTGCTTTAGTTGTAAATCAACGAATTGTAGAATATATTATCTCGCTTGTAACATCTGGATGGTTCACAGACTACTGGCCACAGATGGCGTGAAGTACATTTTTTAAGCGGTTTAGTAAACCAAAGTCAAAATGGGTCGACTTCGCACCATATTTCTATATTATAAAGCTGGGGTATTATGTGAGCCTTTCTCTTCTATCCTAAAAAAAATTATGGGAACTTACCTAATAGAGCCATAAAGAATCCATAAAGAACACACATGGTCTTGCCAAACACCCACCGATGGAAGAGGGCTGATATCAAGGTTAGGGGATTCCCCAACACTGACACAGAGAAGTCTGAGCACACCAGATTGAAGAGGATGATGTTCAGAGGCGTCCACAACTAAAAAATATTGGTACATGTTCAAATATATAAAGAATAGTAACCTCTAGTACCTCTAGTTTGGGGAGTGATCAAGAAAGTTCTATACAAGTAAAAAGCTCCTTCTTATATAGCTATAACTAACTGTGCCCGCGACTTTCGAGTAAATAGTTATCGTATTATAGCTGTTTCACATGATTAAACTGATTAAAAATATGTATGTAAGTGGAATCACGATGAACAGACAGACAAACAATTTTTTGACGAATCCAATTCTTTTTTTTCAATTTTAAAGAGAATAAAGTATATTTTATTTTATGATGTTCATACAAAAATGAACATTTTCCCGGTATTTCCACATTTCCCACTATGTCTTCGTTTTTATTGGTCGCAGCTTGATGTTTTATAGCCTAAAGCCTTCTTCTATCAATTCTCTAACCGGAATTTTTCTTAAGAATTCCTAAATTTTTTCAATTCGAACCAGTAGTTTTCTGAGATTAGCGCGTTAAACAAACTCTGCAGCTGTATAATATTTGTATAGATTGTTTATACGTGCTAGATCTACTTCATGAAAAACTCAATCAAGTTGTACGAGATAACCTGTGGGGCAATAGCTGTTAGATGTTTCTCTTGACTAGGTATTTAATTCGCGACAATATAACTTGGCTTTGAGCCCAAATGTTTTAAAAGATAACATCATAAAACTGATGTAATAAGCCGTTTGCTCAAGTACCGTCTGTAGTTTACGCGAATAGTACACATTAAAATAAAATATAACAGTTTAAAACACCCAATATTAATATACTTTTTTCGCACTTACTCCGTGACCACAGCTGCTGCAAAGCTTCCGAAATGTCGGACCATAGTGAAACTTTTATTAACTAATGTATTTTGCATTTTAAACCATCAAATGTAATTTATATAAACATTTGCGTCTAAGTGTATTTGTTTAAGGGTTGGCCAATTTCATTCTAGTTTATTTGTAAAAAGAAGAATGAGTATTGTCTATAGTTTACGCGAGTAGTACAATTTAAATAAAACATTTAACGGTATAAAACGGACTTGAACGGTTTAAAACGAATTTAAATAAGTTTAACTAATATATCGCGTTTTAAACCGTTAAAGTGTTTTATTTAAAGAATGTTTAGTTTTGATGTTTCTACAGCTTCTCGAAGCACTAAGAACAGTGAAAATCACTACGGATTTGTAGGTCCATCTATTAATCCTGGGTTCTGTTGCCTCGAAGTCCAACGTGTCAAATCAATGTATATCTTTACTGAAACTTGTTAGTCTTCGACTAGAAAATTGTGGAAGTCAATTGGGTAATAGGAATAATTAAATTCCTTCTGGATTCATTCATTTTCTAAACTGCTTATACGTTAAAATGTGGAAAACTAACCCAGCAATAGACAATGTCGGATTTGAACTTCGGACGTCTTTGTTCAATCCATTTGAGTTTTAAAAGACCGACACTGTTCGCAACGCGTGTTTGGTTTTTGTTAATTATTTTACGTTGTTTGTGGACGCTAACGAGTTGTTTGAAAAGGATTTTTTTCGTTTTTCAAGCGTATCATCGCGAATGGAATAACAATATCCTATCTATACTCGTTAAAATGGAAAGATTATTATTTTATAAGTACTTTGTTCTAATAAAATAGTAAAAAAAAAAGATTATTTATTAATTATTTTAAAGCTTTATTTTAGAGGAGTACAGACAAGAATTAGGTTCTCTTGATGGTAGGTAAAAACGCCATATATCATCTAAATGTATATTAATAATAATACAATATAATATAATTCAATTTTTCTATATTTATTTTCTTAAAAATAAGAAATAAAAAGAATGTTAGTAAACTCAAAAGTTTTGATTGCTTACTAAAATTATCTTTTTTATTTCTTATTTTTACATGCAAAGGTTGTCTGGAAGAAATCGCCATAGGCGATAAGGTCGCCTTTGCACAAACATGTTTTATTTTGTATATATAGTTCTAAGTATTCATGTTCTTATGTCTATGTTTGTGCAATAAAGAGTTGTTATTATTATTATAAATTAGAAGCGCCTATTTTGATATTCGGGAAATCCACAGACTGCAACCGAAACGCGACTGAACTTCTCGACTTTTACATATACGAACGGTTTTTAGTGACCCGAGAGATGTTTTTATATTCTTACTACCAGTTTAATATCCAGATTTCAAGACGAAATTCAACATGTTTCAGAAAAAAAATAAATTGATTAGAAAAGTGTCGGTCCCGGTGGGGATCGCAGCTAAGACCCGTCTATTATTTACCATACAATGCTATTATTAAACCAACGAGTGGAGTCAACACCTATTTTAAACTACAAAAACCAATACTGTAGTTTACAAAAAACATTTTTGTGTTCAACTATAAATCTTATGAAGTCCAAGTTTTTGTTTAGACGTATACCTTATGTATAATTAAAACACTTTTAACGGTTTATAACGCGAAATAAATGAGTTATCTCATTTTTATTTTACTTTCACTATGTTTTGTCGTTTTGGATGTTTTACAGCAGTCGTAGTCACGGGAGGACTGATAATTGAAGGTTAAAACAATTGTGCTACGTTAGCGCCATCTGTGTGTTTCTCGACCTTTAAAACCGAAAAAGTGATTTATTTAAACCTGTACTCGTGTAAGCTACGGACAATGCTTAACCGTATGTTTACTCAAACAAACATTTTTGTCCCAACAACCGTATCCCAAGTCGTATTCTTTAGTGTACTGGGGCGTTGTAATTAAATAATTACTGAAGTCATTTGTACAAAGACCTTTCCTTGTGGTCAAGATGATTGACGGGTTGACTATAAAGGATTCGTGCAAGATTTGAAGAACAATTAATTGATGGAGTAGAATTGCAAAGTGGTAATGACAGACCCTTTGTATCTTGAAGCCTTATAATAATTAAATCTCAAAGCATAAACTGAAATTGTTAACTCCGTCACTAAATGAAGTGATTTATGAATATAATTTACTGTTTGATAAATGTGAAATTGTATTTATCTAAATAAACCTCTTTTAATGGTTTAAAATACAAAACTTTTATATTAGTCCTGCCCCTGTCGTTTTTTTAATTTATAATCAATTTTTAATTTAGTTAAACTTGTTTACAAATTTTCTTTAACTACCCCGACGTTTCGGATGCTTTGCAGCAGCTGTGGTCGCGGGGAGACTAAATATGGAGGGAGTCACTAGTCTCAAAATGAAAACTGCTACGCTAAACATGTTACATAGCATTATGTTAAGTGCGAGAGTTCCTGGCTTCGAATCCCAGAGAAACAAAATATTGTTTTATTTATTATGTAAAAATATGTAGCTATTTAAGTAGAGTAAAGAAAAAAGAATAATAAGTTATTAAATGTTTTATATCAATGAAACACTTTAACGGTTTAAATAAAATAAATTCTTCTTAACTGAGCCTTAAGATCAAAAATAAATTAGCTAATATGTTTCACATGAACTAATATATTTCGCGTTTTAAACTGTTAAAGTGTTTTAAATAAACATGCCTATCCTAGTTTTTATATTTGATAAATTTATTTCCTTCTTTCTTTTTAACTCACCTGTCTATCTTTGAACATTAGCAATATAACCATTAAGTTCAGGAAGAATCCAAAAAACCCAATCAAGAACAGCACAAACGCGGACACGACGTAGCCCCAACGTGGCATCAAGAGCGGGAAACCCTCGTCATAAGCCCACACCACTGTGTCATTGGTATTCATTAGTGACGTCATGATTCATCGCTACACACACACTATTTTTTACTCACACACACTCATTAGAATGTTCTTATTTTCACATTGTTCAGTCGAAAAAGTAATTGAAACACCGTTGGATCTATTTTACCAAACTAGATTCTTTGAATTTCATTCTTCAAACTGACGTACGTCTGAAACAAGAAAAAACAAAAAAAATATTAAATATGTAAATTTTTCAAAAGTTAGGAATATTTAAAATATTCGTAGCACCCCGTTATTCTACGCCGTAGAACTACTACGAGCTAGTTGCATAGTTATGAAAACAATGTATAGATAATATAATCAATCTGGTTGTAAAATCGTTGGTAGAAGTTAGTATTAGTTTAACTATTAGTTGGTATCGAAAACTCCGTCCGGGTTACGAACCACCGTCCACAAACGAAAAAATCGTGATATTTCGTCATGTTTCGATTTTAGTCTTTGGAATTCCGAATATCCAAAGCCGAAATAGGTCAACAGCACATCCTGACATATCGCATCGTATCACATACAATAAATACACATTGTATAGAAAAAAAGATTGGACAACTTTTCAATCTGCTCAATATTAATCTTAAAGAAAAAATGTAAGCCAGTCAAGCGTTATCCTTGACACACCCTTCTCAACCGAGAAAGGACAAAAAGGATTCGCTTAACTAGGTAACCTCTGAGTTACGATAAAATCATTGTTCAAACAAAGGTTACGTTATGTTAATGTGTAATAGTTTCGGAAATTTTTAAATGTATTTATATTTTAGACTCATGTTGGCTAGTGATAATGAACGCAAAGTTATTTATTACTGGCTGTGTCAGCGACTTCGTCCGCGTAGAATAGTTATTTTGGCCATTCAAATTTGTTTTTGCAAACCTCCTCTTCATCTTTATAAATTTAAGCCGTTACCTACGACGTCGGTCGGGTATAGTCGTACTTGCAAGTGAATTTCAAAAGATAGACACAGTATAGCGTCGTGGAAATTTTTTTTAGACCATTTAAAGAGAAATCATTTTTTCATACATATTTTTTGTATTCATATATTATCTTAACCCGTTTTTGCAGCGTACGCATCGAAAACTCGTAAAGATGAATAATTTTCCCCGTTTACTCCACATTTCCCGCATCATTATAAACTCTTATCACAACTAACATGGCACGTTCTTTAATACCTTCAGAAAAAGAAATTGGAGGGTAGTTGAGGTTTTTTCGAAAGAAGCTAGCGCGCGCCGGGTGGTGCTTGGATGCCGCTCGTGAGAGTTGTTTGTGCTCTGTTTTAAATTATATGTATATTGATATAACAGTGCCTGCGTATTCGAGAGACTTATGACATTGTTATTTAGTTTCCGCGAGTACTGTGCGTTATTAAGTGTAATGTATAATTGTAAAAGCAGTGTGCCTACGTGTGACGTTAGTTTATATCCGACCCCACTCTTTGTATTCCCTCTTAAATGAGCACCCTTTAATCCCAGTACCGACATAGACAAACAGGCCACAATAAAAGTGCTATTAAATCAGGACAACTACTCGACCGGAGGTATGTACTTAGAATATTAATCCTAATTAGCGAAATGTTTATTAAAATTGTCATTATTACCCTTTTCTGTACAATACAATCACGATTATTCCTTTAATATAATTTTAAAAGACATAACAATTAGGAAGAATTGATAGAAAAAAATAATATCGTATGTAGTTTACACATTTGAATGAAATACGTTTATCCGTTTAGAATACAAAAAGCTTCGCGTTTTAAAGTTATTTTTATAAATTATTTTTTATTTGATAGTCACATTTCATCTCATTAAATATTAGTGCATTTATTTACTTTTTACAAAGCCGAAACAAACTTATTTAGACTGTTGATTTATTTATTTTATATTTCATTTATTTTATCTATCTAAACTATAAAATGTGAAAAAAACGTAGATAATTTGTCTTTAAATGTTGTCGTTGCATATGCTCACGATACTAGAAACTATATTATATGAAAAAATTTTTCTTAAAATAAAAAGTGAATATACTATTCGCTTTTAAAATTAAATAAATAACTAAATAATTCGCAAAAAAAAGGTTTGCCCGTCATCTAGTGTTTAATATTGGGAGAATATTTTATCATTCATATCTTTGCGAAATAATTTCTTACTATCATTATATTTTACATTTAAATCTTTTGATATCATGTATTTTTAGACCATCCACTTTAACAATTCTGTGCGTCCAAGTTACTATAAGAATATTTTATTGTAGCTAAAGGATATAATAATTTGGTGACAGAGACGTCGTAACAAAACGCCAGCCTCTCGTTTGTAACACCATACGAGTGTTCTCGGCGAAAATAACGAGACGCCGGTGTCGTGTTTATATAGCATTATTCCAAGTATTACCTGTCTATGCAAATCCTTAGTTTTGTCAAGGACTTGAGGAGACATCGATGTTCAAACGTTCGTTTATAATACAACACATTAATTATACAATAATAATCAACTAGTCTTAAAACTTTAAAAAGGGGCCCTATGTTTTTCAAGGCAACCTTTAAAAAGGGAATTTAAAAAAAATACGTGTTATTTGGTGGCACTCATCTATTTAGTTGTTTTTAAATTATCTATACTAATATTAAAGCCTTTAGCGTGCAGCAATTTCCCGGGAAGAAAAAATTTGGGGGACCCCTTTTAAAAAAAAAAAAAAAAAAAAACCAAATATATATATATTTTTTTTTATTTTTTCAAAAAAAAAAAATTTTTTCCCCCGGGGGGAAATTTTTTTTTTTTTTTTTTTTTTTTTTTTTGCCCCCCCCCCCCCCCCCCCCTTTTTGGGGGGGGCCCCCCCCCCCCCCCCCCCTTTTCCTTCTCCCCCCCCCCCCCCCCCCCCCCCCCCCGAAGAGTTTGTTTGTTTGTTTGAACGCGTTACTTTCAGGAACTAGTGGTTCGAAATTATATTTTTGTTTGTTAAAGTATTTATCGAAAAGCTATAGGCTATAAAACATCGCCCTGTGACTAATACAAGCGAAGATACAGCAAGAAATGTGCAAAATATTGGGAAAACTATCCATCATTGTGGGTTTCAGATACGTACGCTGCGAAGACACCCAAAAAATATGTTTGAAAGAATGATTCCTTTTTAAATGATCTAAAAAAAGTCCACGAAAAAAATAACTTATTATTGTATATATTTTAAGATTAACTTGTGAGAAGGACAAAGAAGGGACGCGACTGACGTCGTGGGTGACAGTTTAAGTTTATAAAAATGGAAGGGGTTTGCAAAAAGTAATCTGGATGCCCAAAATAACGATTTTCGCGGTCGAAGTCGCTGACACAGCTAGTATAAATATAAAATCGATTTTAGATTGACAAAAAAAAATACTACACGACCAGGACTATGCCCCAACCAATTAAACTACCGTGTCTTACGATTAATTGACGATTTTTTTTCAACCTTTATTGATACATGCATCTCTTGCGCGTGTAATTTAAACTAATCATATTCAGTCTAAAATCGATTTTTAATTTATATAATGCCAACATGTGTAATATTCAATTAAATATTTAAGTATACGAAGATAAAGACAACAGGACCGCCTATGTACATCTAAACGGTTAATTGTCTTTTCAAGCATTGCGGTAAGCTTGAAGGATCGTAACGATTCTAATCCCGGGGAAACAAATGATTGTTTCGATCAGACACGGAAGTTTGATCAACTATTTTCCTGTAAAAGAAATATTTCCGAACACTGAAACGGACACAGAAATGTGCTCACCGCATGCCCTATAGGATGTAACGGATTTTCACTTAGTATGGAAGATTTAACATGCTGTATTGCCCAAATTATACACAGTATATTGGACTATGGTTAGATAGCCTTAGAGGACTTTTAAAATGCCGTCGGTACAACCAGGAGTTTCAATTAGCAAGTTCCAAAAGAAATTAATTTTGACGGCCGACCCTACTTGGCATTTAATAGCGATGAAAAAATGGTTTAACCTTTGCCACAGAACAAATAAAAACCAGTTGGCCAGAATAAGTCCATAGCGCATCTAGATAAGATTTTATATGGCTAGAGTATTTCACCTTTTCTATTTAAAAAAAAGTTTATGAAATAAATTGCCATGTCATTATAAAATATCTAGTATCTACATCTCTATTCAACACAATGAGAGATTTTATACAAGAGATAAATATAATATCGGTGCATATCTATGTCCGTACTGGTTAAACTAGTCTGTGATAGTCATTTTACGCAAAAAATTTGAAAGTTAAAGCTTTTTTATGAAATGTAATTTTTGATTTAGCACTTCACAATTTAGATTAGAAATTTACGTTAAATTTTGTATAATTTTTATTTGTCTTTTTATACCCACGTGGGGTATTGGCCAGACACACTTCTGTACTCGCTTCACATATCAATTCTTAGTACAAACTTTCACCTAGCTCAATCCAAGCTTTAATATCTCATCAAAGCAATTTTGCAACCGAGCTGTAAAAATCTGTGTGATCATGATAGCAGTAACAATCAATAAGCCGTGGGTTGAATACCTACCGCGTCAAAACGTTTCGAATATCTATTTTTCTTAAACATTTTTCGCTTGGAAAATCTGGATTTTATATGGATGGAAATGAAATTATAAATCCATTCGACTCTACGGATCCAAAGCCAAAATATATATATTTTTTTATATGGATAATTTTCTCCTTTATATGTTATATGGCCGGGGTATTAGAAAAAAGTTTTATCTGTAGCAACGTAAACTTATTCTTCTTATTTGTAAATGCATGCTTCAGCGCGAAATCTTTGTTATTACAGTATGTTACCGTAAAAGTACAAAGATCTGAGTAAATATAAAAGATAAATAAAACGATAAGTAAATGTTATTATTTAATTCAAATTCTGATATGAATACGTTATATTCTTTTAACTTGTGAAGTTTAACTATTAAGTATAATATTTTACATATTTAATTAAATAAAATAAAAATCGACATTATAAGTAGGAGTTTGTTTGTTTGAA